GCGAGGTCACCCTTACTGCCGATATTAAATTAAAGGCTTAACAGCACTATGGGTGTGAAAGGATGGGCAGTTGTCAAGAAGCCATCACTAAGAAAAGGAGACATCAGAATCAGAATCAGAATCACTTTATTTCACCAAGTTACACATATAAGGAATCAGTCTTGGTGAGTCATACTTGTATGACACGTAACATAGTGAACAGACCAGACAAGCAAACAAACAAGTATTTAACTAAAAGACAAATACAATAACAATACAATAAATACAATAAAATTCCTGAATCTTCTACCAGAGGGGAGTGTCTGGAAGAGGTGATACCCAGTATGAGAGGGTCAGCTGAAAATTTGCCGGCATACTTCAACACCCTGCGGTTGCAGATGTCCTGAAGCGTTGACAGATATATGGATATGGTGGTGCCCAGGAACTTGAGTGGAAACTACAGAGCTATTGATGTTGGGGAGGGTAGGGAAGGAGGGTTGCACCTAAAGTCCACCACCATCTCTACAGTCCTTACAGTCTGTTGTGTGTTGAGCAGCAGGTGATCAGCTGCACCAGGAGACTAGCTGCTCGACTTCCTTTCTGTAGGCAGGCTGTTCCCCATTGGCTATGAGGCCCACCACCATGGTGTCATCTTCAAACTTCAGGATCTTCGCAACTGGTTCCTCATTGGTCATTCATATCGAGAAGGGAGAGGGGTGACAGCACGCCTGTCAACCTTGTGGTACACCAGTACTGAGGGTCCGAGGGTCTGGTGTGTGTTGTCCCAGCCCCACCTGCTGTATCCTATTTGTCAGGAATCCAGGATCCACCAGCAGACGGAATCTAGCACAGACAGCTGGTACAGTTTGACCCGCAGCAGTTCTGTCACTATAGTGTTGAAAGCCGAGCTGTAGTCCACAAACAGAACTCTAGCTTAGGTTCCAGGACTGTCGAGATGCTGTAGCATGAAGCGCAGGGCCAAACTGACCTTGTCGTTGCCAAACCTGTTAGCTCTGTACACAAACTGCAGGGGATCTAGCAGAGAGTTTGTAATGGCTTTCAGGTGGGCTAGGACCAGGCGTTCAAAGACCTTCATGACTACAGAGGTCAGGGCTACTAGGCTGTAGTCATTTAGTCCAGTAATGTTCATTTTTTTGGGACAGGAATGATGATAGATGTTTTGAAGCACATGGAAACACAGCAAGTTCCAGTGATTTGTTGAAGATGGTGGTGAAAATTGGTGCTAGTGTTAAAATTAGTGTGTTAAAATCTTGAAATCTTGTGCTCAATGGCTGTTTTGACTGGATAGGAAGTAAATGAAGGGTGATCTCTAACTTTTGCATAGGACTGTATTCAATTTTTCCTTTTTTGTGGCTGTAACAGCCTCCACTCTTCTGGGAAGCTCTCTACAAGATTTTGGAGTGTGTCTGTAGGAATTTGTGCCCATTCAGTCAAAAGGGTATTTGTGAGGTCAGGCACTGATGTTGGACGAGAGGGCCTGGCTCACAATCGACGTTCCAGTTCATCCCAAAAGTGTTCAGCGGGGTTGAGGTCAGGGCTCTGTGCAGGCCACTGGAGTTCATCCACATCAAACTCTGGTCTAGATTATGATCTGTTGCTGAAGACCAAGACCAACTGAACAAGTGGAGTCAAGCTTGTTTGGAATAAAAACCTGCAGCCACTCCAGTCGTTTGCAAATAACCTAAGTTAGTGCTTTCATTTTTTAATAGATGACATGATTAAATGAATTTGTTTTCTGCTCTCTATATGTATTAGTAGATGATGAATAAAGGGACAACAACTCACTTATTTAGGTGTACAGCACCACCTTCTGTTTGCTTAGCTGACATTTGTGCATGTATGTTTCTTCAATGGTTATCAGTCAGTCAGTCAGTCAGTCAATGACTCAGTAAGAGACAGCGACTCTTGCAGGCTAGCTAGCAGGGTGGTTCAGCCAAAAGAGGCTTAGCTAGCTTCACTTTACTAAGAAAAGCACAAAAATGCCCTAGTGATGGCTGTAGCACAGACACCCAACATATATTTACTATTGCTGTACTAAAACACCACCAGATCCAAAAAATCTAAAGGCTTTTCCTTCAGGGATTTTATTCTGAAACAGTAAAGCTTGGTAAGTTATTGTTTCTTGGCCAGATGCATCTCCAGACTCCCTTGGGTCAGAGCACCATGTAGTTACGCTCCAAGTTATAGTGTATGAAAAGAATTCCTATAACATCGTAGTGTCAGATTATGTCCATGCTGGATTGTTCAGGTAAATTATGTTACCTCACCTGACCACACTCCAGCAGGCTAAAAACTTCCTCCGTCTTTCTGCAGACCGAGATGAGCCTCAGAATCTGCAGAAAGGAGAACTCTCAGTCTCCGCCTGCAAAGACGTCCCTATACAAGAGAAACAGCCGGTGCCAAAGGACCTGCAACATGACAAGCAAACACTTCTGTGTGCAGCCCACCCCCCTGGTGTGGACGACTGTGAGGTACACCCGCTCTTTCTGCTCAGAAACTCATGAAATAGGCTGTTATGCTACAGGTACACTGTGGGTGGAAAAAAAGGACTTTCACTGTAAAAGTACTGTGAAATTTAAAGATCAATACCTGTTTTTTGGAAAAAAAATGTTGAAAGCATGTAAATAAACCACATACAGAATTTTAACATTGCTGTCAGGAATTGATTTTCAGGAATAAAGGGTAAATTCACAAAAACAAATCACCTTTAATTCACAACATTTATGTTTATTTTAATGGTTATTGTTATGATGATGGTAAAAGACTGTGTCAGGGACTGAACCAGTGAAAGAGTAGAATTATGGTAAAAGGCAGAATTTATAAGAGATTAAATGACTAATTTAACAGATTTTTTACTGTCATTGAGAAAACACACTTTAACTGTTAATAAACAGGTTTTGCCTGGTGGCCCTGCTGCTGGACTTTTCAGTGTTTTTTTGTGTGTTTTTTTTTTTACAGATTCCTTCAACAGTGCAACTAAATTAAATAATATGACTAATCCAGAGTCTTTTTTCTCTCTCAGCTCTACGCTGGAACGAGTTTGATGCACAACGGCGTCCTGCATGGAGTGCTTGTGAATTATGACTTCCTCTGTAAGAAACAGGTGGAATTCATGGATGTCTGTGCTTACAGAGATTGGATCAAAGATGCACTGAAAAAAATGAAATTGCTTTGTTGTGGATTGTAATCAGTTTCATCTCATTGTTAAATAATGACTCAGAACTTACAAGACTTACAACTTAAACCTAAGGAAAAAAACTGGTTAAATTAGGATATCCAGGAGGATATGCAGTAAATGAATAAAACCACTCTTATCTTATTCGTGCTTACGTGAGTGACTTTGCTTGCAGGTTTTGTCTTGCACAGTCATCGCTGCAATGCTGCTCTGCACTGCAGCAGTGCCAGGTTGAGTACAGCTTCAAATACAGAGCTTTTCAATATAAATAAACCCTCAGTTTGATCAATCGAACTGAGGCACTACACAGAGTAAATATGGTGTTTAAGGAAAGAGGCAAAACAACTTGAAATGGTTGGCTAGCATGCAGTTTGGGTACGCTAGCTGGTGCACTAGTCAATCTATCTAAAGTTTTATTAAGTTACAGGTTACATTTCTTTAAAACACACTTAAGTGCTAGCAGAATTAGCTACTTCATGTACTATATGAACTACAGAATAACCATTTTATTCTTCCTCTTTTCTTCAAACAGTGCATTTACTGCATGCAGCACTTAAGTTCAGTGCTCTATCATGAGTCTCATTATTTGAAGTTTGTTCATTCTCTTTAAACCAATAGCTCTAAACATGTAGTTACATACATACACGATATACAGTATATAACTATTATGCATACAGCACACACACATACATATATACACCTCCTTGTTTCTACACTCATTGTCCATTTTATCAGCTCCACCTACTGCATAGGTGCACTTTGTAGTTCTACAATCACAGACTGTAGTCCATTTGTTCCTCTGCATACTTTGCTAGCTCCCTTTTACCCTGTTCTTCAGTGGTCAGGACCACCATGGACCCTGTCTGCAATTGTAGAACTACAAAGTGCTCCTATATTAAGTGGAGCTGATAAAACGGACAATGAGCATAGAAACAAGAAGGTGGTCATAATGTTGTACCTGATATATATATATAATATATATATATACACACACACATATATATATATATATATATACACACACACACATATATATATATATATATATATATATACACATATACATACACATATATGTCAGAAGAAAACCTGCTCTTTTTTCATTGTTTTTCAGTTTTTGACAATCTGCAAACACCTGTTGCCCTTTACATTGCATGTAAATTTCATGAACAATGGACCAAAAGAAACAACCCAAAATTACTTGGGGGAAAAACTCTGGTTCCATTGATTTACATCAAAACTAAAGTTTTTTTTTTTCCTTTCCTGTTAAGTTTTGGAGGTATGTTTTCTTCTGACTACAGCGATATATATGTATATATGTATACGTAAATCTTCTAACTTGTTATATAAAAAAAAAACCCTTAAAAGTTAGTACTATTTGAAGCACTTACCAGTACTTACCAAAAATCCTGGAGTTTGTTGGTAAAGGAACGTCTGCACATTTCAGAGTAATTTGGTGTGAAACGCTCCATTCTAGAGAAACGTACTCAGTCAGAACAGTTCACGGTGGTGGTGACAGGAACCAGACGATCACTTCTAGAAGCTCCTTTACAGAACGTTATTACATAATACTGTAACCACTTCACATCAAAACACATTATTTATGATCTCAACTATAGAATAATGCATCCTCCGTTTACTCTGACTAGGATAAAATCATAGTTAAGCCAAACAACCGAAACCTGAAATCACATCAACCCATTAAATTTGAATCTGGGTCTATGCTCTTACGTACAAACATATTCTTACAGCAGTTTAAATAAGAAATGTGTGAAAAAATTGGTCTCTATAAACAACACAGTAAAAATAATATACGGAAATCTACTTCTAGTGAAGTAACAATATTTTTTATTGAACGTCAGACACATATAACAAGTTTGAATATTACACCGATCCATCAACACAAACATCTCTAAATAAGCTGTAATGAAATCACACAGACCGATTTAGACTTTATTAGCCACTTTGTGGTGTAGTATCGTCCTACAGACTAACTCACGGACGGAGGATAAAGTCCCACTGCAGACTCTCTGCTGCTCTGTGGAAACAGCAGGGAAACATGGAATGAACGGAAGCATGAATAGAAGCATAAATGTACATTAACTGGGTATAAAAGAGTGGAGGGTGGAGTAACATAACCAGCTGCTGAATAAATGTGGAAGCTGATTTCAAAACAGTGTGTGCCACAATCACCCTCCTTGTATCATGTGAACAGGGAATATCTGCACTGCTGGACTAATGTAGAGTTGAACTCTAGAGTTAGAAGCTTAGTTTATGGCCCAATGGTGCCAAACACTCTTTGTAGTCTCGGGTTCATAAGAGGTCCATCTGCCTCTTGAAATGGATTCCTTTCTCCCAATGGGTAGAAATGAACTCCAATCTTCTCTGCTAGCTCAGAGCAGTTAGCACTTAGCAGGTTGATGTGTTGACCTCCTCCACAACGCTGCATGGGCAGAACATCTTATAGAGACAACACATGCAGTTTCTGCTTTCCGTAGTTGTAAAAATGGTAAAAAGGGAGGGAGAAAAGAAAATCCTTCATACTTTGTGACCTCCGTCTCTCTTCTGAGCCATAATGCGGTTATAGACGTAAAACTTGACGCTCTGCCAGTCTCTGTTCTTGAGAGCCAGAGGTTCGGCTCTAATGCAGTTTTCACAGGGCGTCTTGCCCGGGACACGACAGGAAGTGATGAAATCCTTCATGTGTCTCTCCACGGCCTGGACTTCACTCATACTCCAGGTTTTCCTCTTCTTCTGTTCTTTTCTTTTCTGGCCTGGAGGAGAGACTGGAAATGCACCTGCATTAAAAAATAAACAACAAGACAGTTCACATATTACAAAAAAGCTTGGGTCAATTTCAATACTTCATTTATGAATCACAAAACTATCATAAAAGATGATATAAATAAAGATTTGTTTATCGCAGATGTAAAAAGTTCCCCTTTAATCGAAATAATATTAGGAGAATTAAGCACATGTTTAACATAAAACTGTTAAACATTTTGTTTTGTTAAACCAAAATTTTCAACAAAAGTCATTTTTATTATGACTTTACTATGGCTATTATGACAGCAGTGAATATTCTACCCCTACAGCATCAGTAAAAAGTGAAAAATAAAACATCTGATGTAAAAATGCAGGACTAAGAAAGTAATAAAGTGCATATAAAAGTGTCTTCAATCACTATAATAAAGACTAACCATTTGCAAAGAGGCCTTTGTAAACTTCAGTAATGAAAACTGAACTGTTTCTTTGGTGAAATCATCTGGCAGATAAGTCAACCAATCACAGTATATTATCATTGTAAAACTTCTTATTCCCAAAATACCCGAAATACTGAACAAAACACAGTCTAATTTAATATTTAATCTACATTGTTTAAAAGAAGGTATATAAAAGTAAGAAATACTAATAAGACAATTCAAACTTTTGTAATGAGCGAGCGATTACATTTTTGCATCAGTATAGTCATCTCGTCCACTTCACATATATATTACAGTACCAGTATATATGCTATAGTTTTTATTACAAATGTAACTGACTCACTTGAACCTGTGACATTGCACAGTACAGTGTCCTCTACCGCACTTTCATTTACACTCTGCGTACCTCCAGGTGCTGAGCATTCCCAGTTTTTCCTTCCTCTGTCATTGCAGAGCTCAAGCTCCTCTACAGAAGACAGAAAACAGTGGCAAGTTTAATTTCTGTGTTTAATTTCTGGGATTTATTTTGGGTAACTTCCACCACCTTTTCAAAATTCCTCCATAATTGAACGTTTAAGATGTAAACAGTCATTCAGAGTGGTTTGGTGTGAAATGGTTCAGATGTCTTTACAGTGGTGGTGATAGGAACCAGGGGTCACCATGACTACAACACATATATAGCCATTTTATTTACAATCTAAAACCACCAGTGAACCTACATGTGTCTTCTGAGTTTTAATATGGAATACTGATGATGTGAAAATAGTGCAAAGTTTCTCTAGAACAGAGCATTTCACACAAAAACAAACCATTCTGAATTACTTCATCTTACGACTGAATTACTTTTTATTTTAAGAATTGGTGGAATTCCCCTGCAGAATTGATCTTTTTCTTGAAAGTGATGTTCATGTAATTGTCTCCAGACAGCAGCAGATGGAAAGATGTTTAATCAACACAAGTGACAATTTCAACATGAACAACATGCAGTAAACAGGCAACAGATAATCCATCAAAAAATAAATAAAATTATAAAAATAACAAAAACAGCATGCAAGGCTTAAATGTTCGGCAAAAAAAGAATTTACACAATTCCTTACAGTGTCAGAAACCACTTAAGCAAGAATATCTGAGACATCTTCACGTCGTAGGTAGTGATTTGACACCCCCCCCTCCCCCCCCTGGAAATCATTACAACCTGCTGCATTTCCCTTTTACCCCAAAAATAACAGCTGACAAAGCAGTTTTTAAGCTATAGTGCTAAACATCATACCATAACTACCAACTACTCCATCTATTATACACAACCACTGATACAACTTCATCACTTTCCTCTGCTAGCTGGCTTGTTAGGGTGATAAAGGCTAAATAGCTAACAAAAACAAAAAGAAAGGTGTTACGCCATGGTTCTACACCGTTTATAGGCGGACAAAGCAGTTACTTGCACGTTATACTGAAACTTTGCATGCAAAACTTTCATGGCTAGCTGATTAGCTCACTGAGGCTAACCAGCCAAAGGGCGAGTGTGTTCCTTTAATAATCTGCTCCTCACTGTTGCAAGTGGTCATTGGTGTAATGTTGAAGTGATCAGCATCTAAGTGGCAAGTCAAAGTGAGCAAGGGTAATTAAAATATGCTAACTGATGGGGTATACACTTCCATTAATTATTACCAACATTAGCCTCATAGCTCCAGCAAATTTGAGACCTTGAATGTGTTTTGGTTGGTCGACTACATTTAGTGTTAAGGGAAAATTGCATAAATTCGATTTTTGGCCGAACGTTTAACACAGATGGACGCTTTGAGATAGCCTCAAATGTGGGTCGACACATGCTCTCATTGGCACCCTTGTACATCAGCAAAACTGTGAATGAGTGAGTGAGTGAAGCAACGAGTGACAGAAGGTTGAAGAGTAAGAAGATAGAGACAGAGACATCATATATACCATTAGGTTGAACAGTGATGTCAGAGAAGTTCTTGCCCATAAACTCCATCATTCTCCCTTGTTCCATTGCTGTAAGAACCTTGTAGACCTTTGCCAATTGCAGGGTCCTCTCAGGCAAAGGATAGTATTCCTCATGCACGATCAGCTCATGCCCAAGAAAGTTTGCCAACTGGTTTATCTCTGGATCCCCCAGATTCAGGACTGTGGACAGCGTCGCAATTCGCTTCCTCAGCTTTCCACAAGTGAGGGCGTAAGCGTCCTTCGCGCCACAGGCTGAAGCAGCCACACGGACGCAATCCGAGCTTCTGTAGTGTGTGTTAGATGACGGCCGGGCAAACACATAAGGATTCTCTTTGAGGACTCCACAAACCTCTCGCTTCTCGGCCAGGAGCTGCAAGCCACGAAGCATTTTGAGGGTGAGCAGGATGGGCACTGGACGGGCACCTTCGGGCCTGATTACTATTTTGTAGAAGTGTCTGCAAAGCTGTTTCTCGACCTCGGTGAGGGCCCAGTCTATGTCAGTAGGGGGATCAGCAGAGTCCCTGGACAAGAATGTGGTCAGGGTCATGCTGGACACTTCCCCTTCTCTGCTGCGGTTGAACAGAACAACTTGAGTCAGACACACTTTCGCCAGATCTGACCAGTATTTCGTAGAAGGGTCAGCAGACAGCTGAGCCATGCGTTCATCTTGTGTCTTGTTCAAGAAGGTGTGGAGTTTCTGGACGTCTTCTGTGAAGGCCAACAATGTGGGTGTCTTGAACTTTACATCCTCAGTGTTTTTTGCCACCGACGTCCAGAGCAGATCGTTCCATCTATCCTCATGGATTTTTTGGAAGTCCCGCAGCTTTTGCGCCAAGCCACTGTCTTTCGGGATCACGACTTTGGCCCTCACTAGTCGACTAAGCTGGACGAGCCAGATTGAGAGTTTCTTGGCTAAGGATGGGATTTTGTAAGTGTTGGTTTCGCTGTTGTATTCACATGCCTGCCTCACGGCTTCCACCACCTGCATGCAGTTGTATGGGTCAAGGAAATCCTCCAGTTTCTTCAGTGATGCAACTTTCCTCCCAGTGACCAGCAGCTTACCCAGCTCTCGTAACTTCTGCCTGATGATGCAGCCCTGGTTTTGTTGAGGCGCACCACTTTTGTTGAGCCAATATTCCCCCATCTGAAGGATGCAACTGTCATTTTTGACAGCATCTGTGACTTCATCAGGGACCATGAAGCTTAATATAGTCCACAGTGCTGGGCTTACATTAGCAGGCACAGGCTGTGAGGCTGCAACAATGGACAAGGTGCGGTTTTTTCCAGGTTTTGGAACATATGTTTTATTAGGGCTTAGTTTACAGACCTTCATATGCCTCCACAGAACCCTTTTGTTGAACAGTCCTTGGCAATGTGCACAATGCATGAAGTCACTGGCTTTGACCACCCCTCGTGGCCGTTTGCAAGGAACCAGGTCACCTTTGCCTGATTTCAGCACAGCTATATTGTGTTTGTAGTTCCCCCGAAGACGAAGTTCATCCAACTGTAGTCTCCTCTCCTTTGAACCCTTCGGAAAGCCGCGGGCTTTTGCAACTTCTTCTTCTTTGGCATGCACATCTTCCAGATGTCTCGCCATCTTGCTAAATGGTTTCGAACAAAAAAGGCAATAATGTTTCTTATTATACACTCTCTTTCCATCCATTTTTCTTTGGCTTCTGTTGACCGCCACTGCCGCTCTGGTTTTGATATTGTTGCTGCGTAAATTGGCCTTTGGCTTCTTCTTCGAACTGGAGCTGGGTTTGGGCGACTTGCAACCTTCTGAGCAGCTGTCACGACTTTCATCTTTAGAGTTTGAAGGAAGTTCCTTTCCGCTGTCTGAAGCAGAATCCAAGAGCTCGTTTGAATCCTCTGAAAATAACTCTTCCAGCTAAAATCAGAATTGATAACATGTTACTTAAATACTGAGAAATTAAGTATCCTACTGACACTTAAACTTCTGATCTAGTTTTGAATGAATTAAATCAACCATACAGTACTGTGCAAATGTTAGAGATCCTTCATTTTTTATTTGAAGCCAAAAGGACCATTACTTTTTTTGTAATTTTCAACATGAGAGAAAAACACATATTTCAAAAGTAAATTAATTTTAAAAGTAAATTACACAAAAGCCTCAACAACTAAGTACAACACCAATTTTTCCCCCAGTATTTAGCGTGTCCGCTCTTCACCTTTATTACTGCTTTCATGTTTTTCAGGAGACTTGCTTTCAGTTTTTTCAAAGAAAAAGTCCAGGAATATTTCCACACTTTCAAAGTTTTGTCTCAGATATTGGTTACATTTTCTGCTCTTGAACCAAGATCCCAAACACTAGCGTTGGGCTATATGACTATTTTTTTTTGTTGTCGTGAAAATTTTCATTACATTATATCACAATACGCTGGTCTGATTATACTGTGGATATCATGAGTGAACAGTTTTGGAATGTCCAGTTTGGGTGTCTAAAAGGTTTTGCAGGTGGTTGTTAGGAGCCCCATTTTCTCTGTAGCTTTCATTTTATATACTCAAGTTTTTGAAACTCCTGCTTTTTCCACTTATTTTCCTATGACTTCTTTCTTTCTTATACAAATGGATATTATATCTAATCTTGTCAGAAGTATCTCCCAAAAAATGAACTTGGCAGGAAATTAAATAAATGAAGGATGGTTGCTGATTTGCACAGTACTGTATAACCATGGGAAACTTCTTTATAGGCCGAGAGGTTCACAGGCTGGATTTTGCTATTTTGTGGGATAGTTTATCATAAAGTGTGAGAGGAAAAAGAGCCATCTTAAAATGGACATCACAGAATCATGCCTGTTGATTGCACTATTCCTACAATTAATACTGAGACAGATTAAATCTGTTTGGTAGATACTATAGATGAAAAACTTACTATGCTTCTAGTCTTCTTCAGTCTTGATGTACATACGTCCTCATCACTGTCTTCAGAGGAATAAATGTTCAATCCTGAATAGGGGTTCTGAGTGTTTCTTGCATTCTATAAAAACAAATAATTTAATACATTTTAAAACACAATTTAATGACAAAAAAACAACAGGGCTCCAAAGAAAACAAAATAATGATATTTTGAGCAAGCTGTTGGTGATCTACCCAGCAGCTAGGAGCCCAAACAACAACAACCCATATTGTCTAAATTATATTAGATTTTCTGTGGATTTATCATTATTAGCAAAAACACCACCAACAAAGTGGTTTCTTTTACATTGTAAAGAACTATATAGTACTGGACATACAACAAAAATGTGATTTTTATGAAAAATTGGAGCTAATTAACAAAAATGAACTCCACATTTCCATTAATAAATATTTATAAGCATTGTCATGCATGTAAGGTTGATTACATCAAATATATGTTATTAGAATATTTAGCTGCTTAAAATTGGTAGTGACAGTTTTTGGAATGATTGGGTTCTACTGCAGACCTCAGTTTCAGCCAACACATCTGGAAATTTTTGAGACGCTCCTGAAGGCCACGATAAGCCGGTTAAGTGTTCTACACCTCTCAATAAGTTCACTTAGGATTTTACCCTTTAGTGTTGAGTTTGAAAATGTAGAATATGTAGAATTTGAGCAGAAATATAAACAATTTAAAATTGATTTAAAATTTCTATTTTAAAATTTCTATTTGAAATTTTGAGCCTTTTATATCAGGCTATAAAAACAAAGAAATCACAACTACCTCAGTAACAGAAATTCTGAGCCAGATTCACAAATAACTGAGAAGAGCTTCTCCAAACTGCACATTTAAAGCATTGCTGTGGTCACTTGAACACCAGCCTGAACTCCCAAAGAGCCTATATAAGCCCAGAAGTACAGCAAGTCACAAGACTAAAGTAACAACTTTTCCACTTGGACTTCTAAATAGAATATGCTGTAAGGTTAGTATGTTTTTAAAGCCTGATATCACGAAAAACAGATTTTTTGTCACCTTTTTATTATTAAAAGATTTTGACACAGTATGTAAAGACTTTTAAAATGAATGTTAAAACATACTGTTTACTCTCCAGTCCATACAGTCCATATGTGGAAACTGAGCTGCAAAAACAGCCAGTTTTGACGTAATAGTTTTTTGTAAGGTCAAGAAAACCAGGACATACAGTACTGTGCAAAAGTTGTAGGTGCCTGAGAAAATTACATTTAGAAAAAAAAAAACTATTTATATGGTCAATAAGCATTTATTTACAAAAAAAAAGAAACTAAATACAAATAACATCAGTACAACAAGCAGTGATTTTATGGATGACATTGTATTTTTTAACCATTTCCAAACCTCTCCTTGTAGAAACCCTGTATTATTTGTGGTTATCGTTCAATACTTGGTTTGGCTAATTAACATTATGTTAAATCAAGTGTCTAATGAGAACCGCACTCTGTAAAACTCTCTTTAAAAACTACTTCTTAAAATAAATATCCTCTTGTTAGTTTTTTAGTGCTTTTATCTTTATTCACATTTATTCTTATGATATATGAAGATTTTTACTAACAAAAATATGCTCATTGCCAAGATAAATGATTTTAAACAACATGCTTTAAGGGGAATTCCAAGGATTTTCCCAAAATCTGGCATATTTCCGTAATTACAACGTAAACAAAAACATTCAGAGTGGTTTGACATGAAATAGTTAATTGTAGAAAAACTTACAGACTCAGATTTTCTTTATAGTGATGCTGGTGAGAACCGGGGTAAATGTCTACACAAACATATCCATTTTATTCACTATCCAAAACTACCAGTAAACCTACTTGTCTTCCTAGTTTTTACATGTAATGTTGATGATGGTAAAATAGTGGAAAATCTAAAAAAATAAGTTTTCTTTGGGGACTATTTTGCCTTAGAACACCTTGCATGTACCCCTCTGCCAAGAAAGGATTAAAATAAGTGGATAAATATGACATTTAAAACCATTTTGTGTAATAACTTTTTGTGATGTAACTTTTAGAGGCAACTTTTCAGACATTTGGTTCCTATTGCTACTACTGTGAAACAGAGCACTTCATGCCAAACCACTGTGGATGACTTTGTTTACATCTTACCCACTATATTAAGTGAAAATTTTGAAAGATTTGTGGAGTTCCCCTTTCAGTGCTCAACACTTTTGCACAGTACTGTATATGAACCTATTCAGCCTACAGCAAATTAGCCCTGCCTATTCAGAAGTTATAAGAAGTGTTTCAGTCCGGTCTGTTAAACAAATGTAATACAGGCCAGCAAATCAGAACTGAGCTCATTTACATATGTGAGTCCTAAAAGCACAGCAACAAAAACAGCCTGTTTAATTCAAAAGGATAGAGAGGTTGGAAAATGGTCATGTACACCTGAAATAGTGCTGAGTTTACTAAAAGACATCCTGGTAAATATTTTAATGGTAATAAAAATGAGATTAAAAATGTTGTTTATTTCTTCGCTCTCCTGTGTTGCTCAGCATAGACATGTTCAAACAGTCTGATCAGCAGATAAACACTTTAAACATTGCCTGACTGCAACCATTTCACAGGTTCTACTAGGGCTGCACAATATGGACATAAAATGCAATGTTTGATAAAGCCGGCTGATATCACAATGACAATATAAGAAGCGACTGGCTGGATATGATGCAAGTACAGATTTTATTATTAATGTATCTTTTTTATACACTTATCTGATTTGAGTCATTTTTATTGTTAAATTTACTTTTATTTTTTATATGTTTAATAATTAATAATAATGATACATTATCAATCTCTTTTTCCTGTATCAACTCGGCAACCGTGTAAATGAGGGACACCCTCAATGTTCTCCGAGGTTAAATAAAGATTGATTTGCTGACTGATTGATTGACGATGTCTTGCGCAGCCCTAGTTTCTATGAGAAACATTAGGCACAAGGTTTATAATCTCTGTTCCTGTGGAGCAGCAGAAGCAAAAAGGAAATCACACACCGACACCACCTGTACTCAGTTTACGAAATGATAACATTCACAAATCACAGCCAAATAGCAACTAAAAGTAATATAACTCATTGCCTTTACTGACCAACTCTTCTCTGCTGTCACTAAATATCAATTATAAGTTATCAATAACAAGCAGTTTTTCTTCATTAATTACATGAATTAAAAAACACAAAGTGGTAAATTACATTAATTTTTTTTTTTCCCCCTCATTTTCATCTGTCCTGAATTTCGGTACTGGATTTTCATTTCAGTGCACTGCTAATAAATATGCATGAGGTTTGTTTCAGTTACTGACACTTAAAGCTCAATGGCAGTTTTCCAAACCACTGATCATCTTTCAAACATATGGAATGTTTTAAAAAGAAGGTTTACCTGTTGATTAGGCGGCTCTGAACTGGCAGGTTCACGATTATCCATTACACTCTTTGACTGGCACGATGGAAAGCTGTCCGCCGCACTCATCTCAGCAGAACTGCTGTTCTCTGTTACCTGCAAATGTATTTCCTGTTTGATTAACTGAATTTGGGTTTAGAATCAAAAACAAACAGAAAAACCACTGGTTGCCTCTAAAAAGCAGCACTTCTGTTTATGTCACAGCTTTCTAGTGGGCAAAACCTACATAAATAAACAGACTTTTCCTCAACCTCTGCCAGCCCAACATATGATTTATTTTTTCTTGCAACACAGAACTAAAAATATTCAAGCTCCAGCAGTCAGCAGAACTTGCCTCCTGAACTGCCTTCCAAGAATCTGACATCATCTACTCTTCAGTTAAAAGCTACAATTATGGCCACTGTGCTTTTTAAAATATTTTTAATTTCATTTCTTTATTTATAGATTCAGTGCCATGCAGACAGTCGGCATAATTTGCTGTTTGTAAACTGTTCCTCATTTCCATTTTTGGGAAATACACTTCAGACTGTAAGTCACCATTTTTCCTGGTTGTCATGAACAGTTTCAGACCGTTGTGAGATTCTCTTAAACTGTAACCTATATAGTTAATCATAGAAAAAAGCCAGGATGGGATATTTGCACCATAATGCACTGACGTTAATGCATTATTAATGAAGTGTAAATTCAATGTAGGTAAATTCAGGATCCTAAGGACTCCCTAAGGATCCTGAATTTACCTATATTGAATTTACACCACATTAATAATGCATTAACGCAATCAATTGTGTACGGCACAAATTCCTCCCTCCTTGAACGCATTTTCCTACTTAGAACTATTGATTTATCCACAGCAGTGCAATTTTTTTAAAAATCTGAATTTGCTCAATGTTAAATTAAAAATAACTAAATGCTAAATGAAACATTATTGGCAGACCAATATCTTCGGTTTTTGTTTCCCAACTACTTAAATAATCAAAGTGAAACTAAGGCAAATGACTGGCAAACTAAGCGGTTATGATTATGAAAATGTTCTTCAGCTGTAGCCCTACAGCACAATAATAAAAGCAGCAGCTTGGTGGTGTATCTTTGAAGTATATATTTGACACCAACACATACCTTACCTTGCTTTTTCTTTTAAAAACAACTGACATTTGACTGAATATATATTTGTACATTTTTTAACTGTAATAAAAATAAATAAATAAATAAATAAAAACATAGAGGAGACTTACAGTACCTGCTGTTTGGGAGACTTTGAGCTGGTAGCACTGTAATCCAATGGAGGTGGAGGTTTCCACTGGGTTGCCGGATATGAATTCTGGGAATTAACCTCAGCAGGTGAATGGTACTCCATTACCTGAAAATACAGATCCATAAGACTTTTGTTTACTTTTTTACTTCCTAATTCCGTATCAGCATCTGTTCTTATGAGTTTAATATCTATACAGGGAGTACATATTAAATCAGTTTGTAGAAACATTTGTGGTGAGTGAGGTGAGCTATCAATTAGAAGGTTGCAGGTTCAAATCTTAAAGCGTACTGATGCTGAAACATTCTCTGTTTTGATTTCAAATATTGTTTTAGGCTTTTAAAATGGAACAATATCTACACCTGAAGTATTACTGTGCAGTTATAGATTACTCTGGGATTTGATCGCCCTCATAATTCAGCCGATACTTTCAAAGTTCTGTTAATAAGGTGGCCATTGGGTGAATTACACCAATTAAACAAGCTAATAGTCATGTTAGCCTTGCTCATCTTTCTTAAATACAGAGTGCATTCTCATCCATCATTTTCTCCATCTATAATGTTGATGCTGACTATGTAGCAGGGCTTAAAGAGCTAAATGTAAAGGAAACTTACATTAATCGGCTGTTTGGGGGACTTCGTGCTGGTCGCACTGTAATCCAATGGAGGTTTCCAGTGGCCTGACTGGTAGGAATCCTGTGAATTACCTTCAGCAGGTGTGCGGTACTCCATTACCTGTCAATATATGTTATAGTGTGTCTGGTTTATAAGACAATACGACAAATAAGACAAGAAACTAAAGCATTTTTCTTGCTGATTCATGGCTGTTTCAACTCATTAGCTTGCATATAAAGTCAATGATAAGAAGAAGAGCAGAGAAAAGATTAAATTTGAGGAAGAGCCATGAAAAAACAACAACTCTAAGATATGCATATACTTTTAGTACAGTATTATCTCAGCAAAGGATGAATGTACATGGTGCTATATGCAGAAGTGCTAATGATTGTATAAATATGTCTAAGAAAAAACTCTTCAGTGATTTTATTTCATTTTTAAATAAATTTATTTATGAGTCAGCTGTATTTTAACGTTGATGATAACTTTTTTATCCATGTCCTAACTGAATGTAGTATGATGAGATAAAATGACAGTTTGCTCTGATTGACAGATATTTAATTTACTTGAGTACACATAATTGTCATGTTTATGGACAATCAAATGCTTTTTTTGGTTACACATTAGCAGCCTTGTGTTTGTTTATTTAGATCCTACACTTTAGATGCATGTGGAGTTTTTTTCTTCTGCCCTTTTTCATTTTTTAAGTAAGTTCATTTAATATATCTTGAGGTTTTATTTTTATTTTAAAAAGGCAATGCGACAGATGCCACTTTTGATTCATCAGCCACATCAAAAGTTGACTTTTCTAACTGAATATTTATTTGAGCTCAATATAATAAATGAAAAAATATATGATCAAAGATAACAAATATAATACAACCTCCCAGTCTAACATTACATCTCTATGGGAGAAATGTTTCTCAGGCTTTCTTATTATGTATAGTAATTATTAAATTAAATGGATCTGTGGCTATTTGTAATGTTTTTATTCTTTATACTTTTATTTATAATTTGTATTCAACTGGATATCTCTTAATATTTATATTCACTCTAATTTCTCCAACCCAAACCTTAAATTTAACTCCAGTCCCTGGCTCTGGAATAAACCCAAATAAAATAAGACAACCTCATGTGACCAAAGACTGAATCTGATGATAAATTAAGAAATAAAAACATAAGTTTTCAGCCATAAGGTGTGATCAATTCGAAACATTTCCTAAGAGAACATATGGAACATATGGACCAAAGGAAACTTACAGTTTCAGATGGGAACATTAATGAGCCTTGATGAGTGAAAGCCATTTCACACTGAAGTGACTCCTAATGATGATGACCAGCCTGGGGAAAGATGTGTTTATCATCCTCTATTTTGTTGTGAGCACCTTATTTAATGCTCAAACTGCATTAGTAAAGAAAAGTGGAGCTCCTTTAATCACACAGTCCTATTCAGCTTTCTCAATAGTGTTTACTTTACACTCCTAAAAAAGATGGTTCTTCAAGGCTTCTTTAAAAATCATGAACACTCAATTTTTTCAAACTTTGCATATATATATATATATATACATATATATATATATATACACACACATACACACACACACACACATATATACATAAATTGTTACAGGCTTGACATCATCACAATAGAAGAACCCTTTTTGGTGCTATACACAACCCTTTTCAAAAACGTTCTAAACAGAACCATCCACATCACATTCTCCATCAATCTGAAGAACGCTTTAACAATGCCAATGGTTATTTGAACGTTCATGGTTCTATATAGAACCATTCTGTTCACTGAAAAACCCTTGATGAACCATCTTTTTTAAGTGTGTACAAGCTTCACATCTTAACAATAGCAGAACCCTTTTTGGTGCTATATACAATCAAAAAGGTTCCATACAGAACTGTATGCAACATTATCCATTAATCTAAAGAACAATTTTAGCATGAAATGGTTTTAAATAGAACTCATGGTCGAAAGAGAACCATTCCTTTTACTAAAGAACCCCTGAAGGACCATCTTTCTTAATAGTGTGAATGTATTCAGGCTATTCAGAACGTACGGAGCTGAAGTTAGCGTCTTGTTCCAATTCTCCGTTCCACCTTAAAACGTGCAGCAGTTACATTCTGCTGCTTGGAGGCGCCACACTGCAACCGCTGAAGCATTTAAGGTGGAATGGGCAATTAAAAAAATAAGCTGGCGAATAGAAGGCTTTGTAAAGAGTGTATGGACCTACACTGCGTTTTAAAACAGCATAATATCCCCAGTGGCAAAAAAAAATCCAGAAATAAACCCAACAGAGAGAGAAGCTCGGCCGCTGTGTTGTTGTTTTGTGTTGACTGTATCGCCCCTGCAGTCTGCTAGTCTGCTAAAGGCCATTCCTGCAGCCCTGCATTCAGTTAGCTTCATTTACTCCCCGGTTTTTCACATTAGACCATAATTGGGACTCTTCTTTACCTTTTATTCGAACTATATCCCTTGTTCTTTGTCCGTGGGTCCTTCAGAGGCCGCAAAGAAAAAAATCTCTAAGAAAAAAACTCACTTTTTCCACCATCCGATGGATTCGCCTCCTTCCTGTGTGGCCTGTGCCGCTGTAACCTGCGTCAGCGCCGCCTGCTGGTGCTGGAGTCTCTCAAAGTATTGTTTTCACTGGGCTTGAAATTAAATGCTTTCTTTCCTTTTCTTTTGCCTTTTTCCATTTTTAACCCTCCTTGTATCTTTCAATGTTTAATGTCGCTTAATTAATGATTACATTTTTTTTGCTTCATATTTAATGACTTTTTTGTAATTAAATTGGGGGCAGCTGGGTAAAACTGACATGGTGAAATGTTTTAAATGTCCTGTACACATTTTGTATGCATCATCAGTGCTCTCTGGAGTCAGTTTGACCCCAGTCTGTTTTAGCTGTATGAAACATATGAAATATAAAGATTTTACTTGGTTGTTTTGGATGATACTGGGGTCACTATAAATTAAAATTTATGATAACCTAACCGAACCATACACAACGCGGGGGAGGGGATTTTTTTATTGTTATGTTCTGAAACAATGCATAACAACACACTTAGTTTAGGTTTATTTTATATATATGAAATGAAATGTACATACGTCCATAACAGGAGGGTTAGTTCGTTTGTCCTACCTTGAGGTTTTTTTTTTCATAGAGGTGATGTGACAGACGCAACTAAAACGTTTTGATTGGTCGCGCACCAACACTTATTTTTGATTGGTCAGCCCTGACAGATCTTGTCATCATCAGCATCACATCAGTTATTAGTTTTTTGTAATTGAATATTTATCTGAGCTTGATATAATGAATAAACAACGATACAGTCAGGATTAACAAATACATTCCAAGTCTCCCAGTCTAGCAGCTTATGTCTATGGGAGAAACGTTTTTCCTGTTTTTATCATTGTGTATAGCAATTTTAAATAGATCAGCAGTTATTTGTGATGTTTTTATCCTCTATTCAGGTCCAAATGACAACAGCATTTTGTTAATTTTAATAAATTAATTTTATGCAATATAAGAACAAACATTGCCATACTTTCTTTAGCTCATCTTTTCTCATCTTTTACCTCTAAATTGCTGTAATTAATAAAGAATTTTCTTACATATGTTGTACACTGCATATTACATTTGTAAACTCATCCAAGGAAGTCGTAAAATCAAAACCATATTATTTTGCTTTTTTAATCTTTTGAAAACAATTGACATTTACAAAATTATAACTGACATGCCTCTCAGCCAATCACATTAGAAAACCTAAACAAAACTTCCCAAAAATGACAACCTTTATCTGGGTTACTGTATTTGCTTAAAATCATTTTAATATGATGTCTAACGATTACAGAAAAACGTTAAGCTCAGTAACTAGTTAGCTTTTCTTAGATTAGCTGCTGATAGTTATCTTGATAAATCAGCCAGATTGAACAGGACTGTACAGCACTCACATTAGTGCTTAAACATTCTGTGAATATGTAACCCACCTACGAAGCTTCTTTATTTTATTCTTGTTATTTCTTATTATTTTATTATTATTTATTATTTTATACTTGACTGTTAATTTATTTTCAGACACATACTCAGGTCAAAATCTCTCTACCTACTGTTGTGCAGTTCCTAAAGCTGAACTGCAGCGCCCTCTGTAGGTCATGTTTGATATGCAGTTTGGCGTCAGGAGAGTAGAAAGGTCTGGTGGCTGCTCGTAAAGACTCACGTCCAGCATGAATATTATATTCATTGCTTTCTTCAGCAAGCCTACTCACTCTGTCTGAAATCATATTATTCTTCATATTAGGTAAGGTTTTTTTTTATTATTTTGTAAAACTATACTTTATTCTTCATCTAAACTGAGTAAGTATCAGCCACGTTATGCTCTGTGCTAACTATGAGGAAATTAGCCAGCTATTTGGCAGAATGTACTAAGTGTTTTGTTAATGATTTTCTTGCTCTTTTTTTTAATTTGTACTGCCAGGTATAAAAATTAATGCAGAAATTCATGTAGTAGTTGCTTATCTGATTCAGGACGCAGATTGAACTGTGTGGAGTTAGTTTTGTGCCAAAATGTTTGAGAGAAGATCCTGATGTTTGAGAGAGGAATGTTCCGGTTTGAGAGAGGAATGTTCCGGTTTGAGAGGACAGCGCTGCTCTGAGCGCAGCTAATGAACTTGAACGCACGTGTCAGCACGAAGTCCGGCAGGTAAACACTTTCGGATTTGCTCAACAAAACTCTCTGGTTTTCACTCAAAACTGGAAAACCTGCTCATTATTATTATTTATTATTATACCTGATAATTATACTAGGGTACATAGATATAAATATTAATGCAATTCTTTATAATGTTTTATTAAAGTTTTCTGAAAGATCTTGTTTAAAAGACAATGTGGCCCCCTCAGCAGCTAACACTGCTCTGGCTAGCTCCAGTGTTAGCTTTAGCATTAGCGCATCTGTAGCAGTAGCAGATTTCCAAAATACGCGTTTTGTTAGCTTTAAACTGGACTACATTCATCTTTTAGGTTCTCAAATAGGAGTGTCTGCACTGAACATCTTGAAAAACAGTTTATTTTTGAATGAAACATGTTTTAGATGTCCTTCCCTGTGTGTTTCTAAATCTTCCTTTTAACTTATTACTGAATTTTTGTTAACACAAGTGTTAGAAAAGCTACTAGGTAGCCTGACCTGAAAAATTGATGGATGTGGTGATATTAACTAAGAGAGGCAGGACTCTCTCAGAACTTTGCAAACAGTCAACTGACAAATTTGATGACAAAAATTAACATTCAGGTATCACTAATTTGGCCTCTCAAAAAGCTACAGAACATGTCTATTGATCTTACAGATATATCAAACTTTATTGAGGGAAATTGCAGTGTTGCAGTAGATATATAGACATATAACTGCACATAGACTAAGCAGAAATAAACATAGACATAAATTAGTCAAATAAAATATAGACATAAGTTAAAGTATGAGAGAGTAGGAATAAAAGTATATCTATTTGTATCTTTGCATAGCATTTAAGACAGATTTGTTGTATTTCCATGAGAGCAGGTATTGCACTAAATGGTGTGAGGTAGTTACAACACAATGGGTATAAACATAACTAGGAGTAGCAGCAGTGTTTACAGTCTAAAGTGAGCAGTGAAAGTGTCATTACAGTAGCGGTTATGATATATCACAGTGGGTATTAATAAGAGAGGTGATATAGTGATGTGACTCAGCTCAGTTCAGACAGCAGGAGATCAGTACTGTCTTGGCAGTAAGGAGACTCGTTGTATAGCCTTATAGCAGTGGGTAAGAAAGATCTTACAGAGTGCTTTTTTAATATGGCACAGCTGTAACAGTCTGCCACTGAATGTGCTTCTCTGTTTTTCTAGTTTAGCATGCAGGAGGTGTGGTATTGTCCAAGATGGTTAACAGCTTGTTGAGAGTCACTCAGCACTTATTTGCAATGAGATAGTTTCACAACTTGACGAAGTACAATAAAATAAATGAATATCTAATAAATAGAATAATAAACCAGTAAATAAATAAAAATGCAGAATGTAACACACAGCCTCTATGTTCTGACACATTTTATGAGCCCTAGTTTACCAGCCTTATGCAGAATGCGAACTGGCTGCATAAACCCTGCAAAAAAGTTGACAGTCAAACTGACAGCTTGGACTATGTCAAAGTCTTCCACTGACAAAGTGTTCTGAGAGCCATATGCAACCATTACAGAGATGTTTTGAATAACAATTGCCATCAGGTAAATGGAGATAAGTTGAAAAGCTTTCTTTTTGGCGGTGCTTGTACTTCCCTCCTGCTTGTCTCCTGGTGCTGGATGCAGCAGAGCCTTCAGAACTGATACACAGCAGTAGAGCTCAACATTCAGAATGATGAAATATACAACTATAGCAGCATTATATGGAGGAACTGGAAATGAATAGATGCTGACAGTGCCCACTACTAGTGCACATAGCCAGGCAAATGTTGAACACCCCACCCGATACCTGAGTGGCGTAAACCTCAAGAAAGTCACAGGGTGGATCACAGCCAGGTAACGCTCCAAACACACACAGCACTGGAAGAGAAACCGAGCAGAAATGCTGGTCCCAAAGGCAACATCCACCAAAATGGCAAACCAAGGCCCGAAGTACAGCTTACACAACACATACAGAAGTGCCACAAGGGAGAGAAATACTTCAGCTATGGCATTATTCACACCAAAAACCATGGATACATCCACTCCTCCACCTTTGGACAGAAGCAGGAACGTAATGTAGCAGTTTAGAGGAAGACTAACTGAGAAATAGATGATCAAAGTAAACAGAAAAACAGTTGATGAGATGGCCAAAGTTGATTCGGGGAGAGTTGTGGTGTTCATCTTCCTCTGCAGGAAAAAAAAATGACCTGTGGAAAGATAATATGCGTGAAAATGCAGAGAAATGCTCCAGGACAAATACTGAAAGCAGAAAAGACGCTGCAAATAATATCATTTTAACCAGTTAAACATCAACTATTAACCCCTAAGAGTCTGTGTACAAGTCCACACTTCAGTCCTTCACACTCGCCTACAGACCATACATGTTCTAGTATTTACTAAATAATTCAAATTGAAGTAGTTGAGTCTAATTCAAGTACTTGATAATTTAAAGTACTATAAATTATAGTAGCTACTCAATAATGTATAGTAGATAATGGATAAAAAATTAATAAATAAATATAATTATTACTGACTAATTCAAAACATTTAATAATTCATAGTAGATACTAAATAGTTTGTAGTAGTAACTAAATATTTCTTAGTAGTTAGTTGATAATTTAGTAGCTACCGTGTTATTTATAGTAGAGACTTTATAATTATTATTAGTTACTGAACAATTCTCAGTATGTACTAAATATGCCTTTTTAGCAACTAAAAAATCTTAGTAGTTACTGAATAATTCGTAGCAGATTTTGAATATATCATAGCAGTCAATCAATAAGTCATAATATAATAACTCATAGTAGACAATGAATAATAAGTCTGAAGGTCAGAAATTAAATAATGAGCTTAGGTTTCAAGGGGTAAAAAGCTCTATATTTAAAATGTTGTAACATTGCTGTAT